TGTGTTATTTAACTTTTTAAATCTCATAGAGGCTCCAGAAAAAGATAGCTTAGTAGGTAAAGGCACTTGTCCCACAAGCCTGACTAATTAAATTCAAATCCTAGAACCAATAAAAAGGTAAGGGAAACAACCCCACAAAGTTCTCCTCTAACCCACACACCAAATGCATACTCAATAAAGATAAATAAAATCCCATTGTTTTTTTAAAAGCCTCCAGTCAAGCAGTGGTGACACATGCCTTTAATTCCAGCACTCAGGAGGCAGGTGGATCTCTGAGTTCCAGGCCAGCCTGTCTACAGACAGTTCCAGGACAGCTATTTTGCTATCAGGTTCTCTCCCTGCAACTGATTCTGTGTACATCACCATCAGAATAGTCTTTCACCAACTGCCTTTCTCCTCCTACATTTTTTGCTGTGACAACCAAATAAATGGCAAATTCCTTAGCATATTTGTCTTCTCATCTTCCCAATATCCTCTTCCATCTGTTTCCAGTGAAAACACCCCAAGCACACAGCGTATGTTCTAGCCACATTTGTATTTACTTTATGTGAAATATCCTTCCCCATGTCTAAGAAAAGCCAATTATTTTTAGCCCTAGCAACTTTTGTTCAAATACACATTAAATTATGTGAATTTTTCAGCAACACCTAAGACCTATGCCTGAAATATTCCTATCGGCTTACCCTTAAAGATTACCAGAGCACTGCTTGTAAGGAAACTGTGTATGTGTGTACACCACCTCATGAGATCCTACACTCAAAAGCAGAAATCACCTTGGTTTATCTTTATATCCCAAATGCCTAATCCTTGGTAAATAGTCTATGCTAACCACAAAGGAACAGAAACCAAATGAAGATAGTGTCTTAATTCAGAAGAAACTTCAAACTGTCCAAGTTTTAACTCCCCTAGCATATTTATTCACTCATTAATTAACTAATTCATTCATTCATTCATTCATTCACACACACACACACACACACACACACACACACACACACACACACAGACATACACACCCCACACACTTCTCTTCCTATAATCTTTTAGTAAATTACCTACCCATCTTCCCCAACTTGAAACTTGAATCTTAGATTTCTTCACCTGGCCACTTCATTGGAAACAAGTTATGTCTCAGCCACTGAACTTCCAAACCTCCCCACTTTTTTCCATCTTCTGTGATAAAGACTAACCCTTACTAGAATCCTTTAAATCTCACTTCTCTTACTGCCTCTTCCCAAATCTTTCTTCACTGTAATATCTTAAATGGCTAAAACGTAAAATGTAAACCTCTATAAGCATTATTAGTCCCGAATGATTAACACCTTGCTCACCTCTCCTTTCTATCCCTCCAGTAAGGTAGGACTTTCAGGTTCTCAGAATGAGCATGTTCTAGCCTCATGTTCTCTCTTCCCTCCTCTGTTCCAGCCAAACAACTCTTACTAGCCCTATCTACTATCAGATTCCAAAACAGAACAAAATTTCTCAAAGATATCCACCAGTGTTTATAAACTAGGCTAAAGGCTCCATATTCATCCATCTGTCCCTGTATTTTCCAAATAAATGCTGGTCAGACTTTTTTGATATCAGTCTTTCCCCTGTATCTTTAATTCCAGGAAGGCAAAAAGAAACCATCTCTGTCTGAACTAGCAGAGTGTTCCATAAACCAAGGATAAATGCACAGCACACAAGCATACAATAAATATTAGTCCAAAAGACAACTGCAACCTTGCTAACTCTTCTCTAATATTCTTTAAATTGTGATTCACAAACTATTAGTAGGCCATAAAACTCAATCAAGGGGGTAGCAATCAGTGCTTCAAAAAACCAAAACTAAAACCTGGATGTGGTGACATATCGCTGTAGGCCCAGCACTAGAGGCTAAGGGAGAAGGGAGGAAATAACCAGAGTTTATTACCAATAGGAGTAGGAAGATGGCTCAGTCAGTAAAGTACTTGTCATAAAGACCCAAGTTTAGGCCCCCAGTACCCTTGTAAAAGCCAAGCAGTAACACTGTAATCCCATCCCCGGGGGAAGCAGAGAGAAGAGAACCCTGAGCCTTTTTTGAATACTGTCTAGCTTAATCAATGAGCTTCAGATTCAGTGAGATCCTGCCTCAAAAAATAAGGTGGGGAGAAGAGAAGACACCCAAAATCCACATACATAAAGGAACATACAAACACATATACAATAATTTCACACTATGACCAAGGTTTCTGATTCTATATATAAATGTAGGTTTTTTTTGCTTGTTTGTTTTGTGTTAGTTTTTTTGAGACAGGGTTTCTCTGTTTACCCCTGGCTGTCCTAGAACTCGCTCTGTAGATCAGGCTGACCTCTTAATTCAAAAAGTTCCACTGTCTCTGCTTCCCAGGTGCTGGGGTTAAAGATGTGAGCCACCACTGCCTGGCCATAAATATAGTTCTTAATCCTTAAACTAGGTGTTGCTGGACAGACCTGTGATCACAGCACACTGGAAGCTCAGGTAGAACTGTCATAGTTTGAATGAAGCCAGCCTGAGTTATGTGTGATAAAAAACAAAACAAAACTAAAAACAGCTATATTTCTCTTCCTCTTTCTTTATAAGAATGTTATCTTTTTGGCCCGGCATAATGATTCTACCCTCAGAACGTCAGGCAGGGTAGGAACATCAGAAAAGATTTCAAGGGAGCCTGAGCTCCTGGGCTATTACAGTGAGTTCCAGGCCACCTTGTAGTACAGAATGAGACTGTCTCAGAACAATAAAAACAATGCCTGAAGAGACAGCTCAGTAGTGAAGAGCACTTGCTACTTTAAGGGTTCAATTCCCAGGACCCACATGGTGCCTGTAACTCCAGTTCCAAAGGATCGAAACCCTCTTCTGGCCTCTATGGTACCCCCCACACACACACAGTGTACATACATACATGCAAACACCGCACATAAAACTAAAAAAAAAAAAAAATCTAGACAAGCAAATGAAAACTGGAAAAAATTAGTACTCAACCACATAACTTTTGTAAAAACTCTTATGTTGAATACTGCCAATAGGAACAATTTGCCGTTTTTCATACTGTTAGTAAATAACTATTCATTTTAATTACTTAGATACGAAACACTGTGTGGTAGGCACATACATTGCTTTTGAGTTGTTTTTGTTTTTTGTTTTTGTTTTTCAAAGAACAAGACCTCACTCTAGTTAAGGCTGGCCTAAAACTTGCAGTTTCTTGCTTCCAGCTGCCAAATTCTAGGATTACAGGTATATCATGATTAAGAGTGCTTTTGTTCTTATTTTGCCTCTTTGTTCCCATATTCTTTGCTAAAAGACTGAATCTTTGGGTGGATGATGTAAAACTCTGCTACAAAACTTACTTGATCACTCTCTCTCTAAACTCTTAAGTCTTTGTCTTTGTCCACTTTATCTGTATGTCCATTAAAATAAAACCCTATCACTAATTTCCTGTAGTGGAGTTGGCAGTACTAGCTAACGTAATGTGCATACATTGTGCAAGCGTGTCTTATTTAATTTTGTCCCAGGGTCATTTTATGTAGCCCTGATAGCCAGAAACTGTATCACTTGGTAGCCTTAACTAAACTCTATCTGGAAATAATAAGTCGCATCCTCCTAGAATTCTGTGATTACAGGTAAATACCACCACATACAGCTTTCCTAAACAGGGAGTTCTCACTCCTCACCACAACCCTGTAATAACGGGTACTACAGGTAAGAAAGATAAATCATAAGTCAGGTTGTTAGCTCAAGGTACAGTTAATAAACAAAGGCACAGGGTTCTCAATTCTAGAAGTCTGATTCTAATACTCATTTAACACCCTCCCCCAAACAGGGTCTCAGTCTTTAGCTCTGTAGACCAGGTTGGCCTCAAACTCACAGAGAGCCGCCTTTCTCCACCTCCAGTGCCGGGATCAAAGGCAGGCAACACTACAGTCAGACATCTACTCAACTTTTTTGTTCATAGGGTTTTTTTTTTTTTTTTTTTTGTGACAGGATTTCACTACAAGTAGCCTAGAACTAGTGTTGTAGACCATGTTAGCCTCGGAATTCTTTGAGGCATTTATTTTAAAAAGAATCTACATCTAAAAACATATTATCTGTGGGGATGGAGAAATTGCTCAAGGGTTAAGAATACTTACTGCTCTTACAGAAAACTGGGTTCGGTTCTCAGCACCCACATGGCAGCTCTAGTCTCAGGGGATTTCACACCCCCTTCTGATCTTTGGGCACCACACACTCACGCACGCACGCACGCACTCATATACATGCATACATACAAAATGCAAGCTAAATATTCACACAAAATAAATCTAAAACTAGAAGTAAAATAAAACTCAAATTGCTAAGAGGCTTAATCAATTAATACTTATTCTCTTAGCTTCCCATAATGTGTGTATGTTCATCACAGTATGCATGTGGCAGCCAGAGAACAACTTTGTAGTTGGTCCTCCTTTAAAAACAACAACAAACAACAACAGCAACAAAAAACCCCTATATTTTATGTACATTGGTGTGAAGGTGTCACATCCTCAGGAACTGGAATTACAAACAGCTGTGAACTGCCATGTGGGTGCAGGGAATCAAACCCAGGTCCTCTGGAAGAGTAGCTAGTGTTCTTAACCACTGAGCCATCTCTCCAGCTCTTTTTAACCTTTTTATGGGTTCTTCTGATTGAACTCAGGTCTACAGGGTTGCACAAGCAAGTACTTTTACCCACTCAGCCATCTTGACAGCAACATTTTAAACTCTTCAAGAAAGGAGCAAAAGAAAAATGTATCAAAGTTTCAGAAGGAAACTACTAATCATCATAAGAAAAATAGTCATTTGCAAAAATCAATATTGTTTTTTTTGGTTTCTTAGTTTTGTTTCTTCAATTTTGTTTTGAAATGGGGCCTTACTACATCATACCCCAGGCCGGTCTCAAACTCTCAATCTTCCTTGCCACAGCCTCCTCAGCGATGGTATTACAGATATGCACAAATGAACACACCCAACTCAAATTTTATTTTTTTAAAATATGGAACAACTCACAAATTTTCATACCATCCTTTTCAGAGGGGCCATAATGATCTTTTCTGCATTGTTCCAATTTTAATATATGTGCTGCCAAAGTGAGCACAAAATTTAGTGTTTTAATTTGTCTTAATCTTTAGTATAAGTATTTTTGATTACTCATTAATTTCACTAATGTTACTCACACTCAAAATAACTTCAAGCCAGGTGTAATGCAGCATGCCTAGCTACAAAGGAGGCTGAATTGCAGTCAGTTGAACCCTATAGTTTCCAGACCACCTAGGCAACAAAAGACCCCATCTCAAAAGAAAAAAAAAGAATCTGAAAAACCACAAAATAATTATTTCCTATTTTCCATTAATTGTTGGGCATTATAAACTGGCAGAATGACTTCTGAATTGTTTTTGTAAATTTACCAGAATTATTTTATAATCCCACTTGTATCAGGAAACATTCTTCCTACACTTCTTCCCTTTCTTTAAACATTTAATATATCTACAAATATCACTAAGCATTGATTTTCAGAAGTTTCAAATTATTTTCTTCAATGAATAGACTAGAGGAGATAGAAAATAAAATACCAAAGGCAAAAATCCTCTTCCCCACCACCCCCAGCATCAATTCACTGGGCATGCTAGTAGTCTCTACTTAAGCAATAAAACTCAAGCTCCTGCTGGGAAAAGGAGCCCTTATTATAACACACAGGACTTAACAAAATGTCATTTCTCTCACCGTCAACCAATCTTCTTGAGGTCCCATCAATGAATTTACAAGGCCTTGAGAAATTTAAGGTACAGGGCTAAGTAGTCTGCTATACTGCACAGCAGTCAGCAATACCTCACTAGACCAAGGTGTCACTTTAACCTGATTCAGACAACTCTAATATACACATTTTCTAACTAAAAAACAAAATTAGAACACAATGCCAAGGTCTGTACTAGGAAAAAAAATATCTACAGAAGTATCTAAGTAGGATGGTAAGTCACTTATACAATACTCTAAGAAAAATAAAACAGACATTTATAAAAATGTGTGACTTGTTCCTGTAATCCTAGCACCGGGGAGACAGAGGCAAGAAACCAGTAGCAAAACAATCATCCTTACCAGTTCTCTAGGGTATACATTAGCCTAGTGTTCAAGATTCAAGTATACTTTATATCCTATTTCCTTAGTGCCTTTGAAATTGGGGAAAGGGACTGGTTTGGGGCATAACACAAGCCAATCCAGTTACTTACACAATAGGGCTACAGGAGGAATCCCCCCCACCCCCACCCCCAAGAAAGGGTTTCTCTCTGGCTTTGGAGCCTGTCCTGGAACTGGCTCTGTAGATCATGCTGGCCTTGAACTCAGAGATACACCTGCCTCTGCCTCCTGGAGTTCTGGGATTAAAGGCTTGAACAATCACTGTCCCTTTAAATGTTCTTAAGTGATTTGCAAACAATGACAAAATGTTCAATTAACAAAGTCACCCCAGTCTGGTGGATCTCTGGAGTCCAAAGCCATCCTGGTCTGCAGAGCAAGTTCTAGAACAGCCAGAGTTACACAGAGAAATCCTGTCTCAAAAAACAGGGGATGGGGTGAGGTCACCTTCATCATTGCCATCTCTTAAGATCAGAAATCAGTTTAATAAGTTTTCAAAAACTTATTAACTGTGGCCAATTTTACAACAACAAAAAAAGTTTATAAGTAGGTTTCATGATCTTTTAGAGGAGAAAGGATAGAACAAAGTTATGTTTCAAACAAGACACAGAGGCTGAAAAAGATCTCTTTGAAGCCAGCCTGGTCTACATAGGATGTCAGAGCTAAGCAGTGAGACCCTATCTCAAAAAACCAAAATTTAATCAATAAAAAGTTACAGTTCAAAGTTTTGTACAACCATACCAAACTCATTTTTTGGGGGCGAGGGGGGTATGGTTCCGAGACACGGTTTCTCTCTGTAACATGCCTGGATGTTCTGGAACTCACTTTATAGACCAGGGTAGCCTCAAACTGAGATCCCACTGCCTCTGCCTCCCAATGCTGGGATTAAAGGCAAGGGTCACCTCACCTAGCATAAATACACTTTTTAAGGATCAAATGCAAATACTGAAATACAAACATAAAAGTACAAAAATAAAAACAAAACGTAAACCAATGTTTTTATTCCTTTCCATTTCAAAACAAAGCATCAACCTAGCAATTTCACAATGCATTAGCACCTAATCTTAGAAATGCTAAAATGGGGGGGGGGAGATGAGTTTGAGAATAATCTAGTCTACATAGGGAGTTCCAGAGAAACCCTGTCTTGAAAAAAAAAAAAAGAAAGAAAGAAAGAAAGAAAAGAAAAAGAAAATTCAGAACTTGGGTTTAAATATTATCTATTTTGTAATACTTCAGTTACCAACTCACTGGATCTAGTTGCTTTCTTAAAAAGAAAACACAATCAAACACTCTTGATCAGTATACTTACTCTACAATTTTATTAAAAGCTTAATTAACTTTATTTGTTATCTTGGAGTTTCCTTGTGAAGCCCTGGCTGTACTGGAACTTGCTCTGTAGACCAGGCTGGCTAATTTACTTTTAAAAAATTTGTAGCCAGGCAGTGGTGGCTCAAGCCTTTAATAGCAGCACTCGGGAGGCAGAGGCAGGAGGATCTCTGTGAGTTCAAAAGAGACCAGCCTGGTCTACAAGAGCTAGTTCCAAGACAGCCTCCAAAGCCAGAGAGAAACCCTGTCTCAAAAAACCAAAAATAAATAAATAAAAATTTAGAAAGAAAAAGAAAATTAAAATACAGCCGGGGTGGTGCTGGTGCAGGCCTTTAGTCCCAGCACCCAGAGGCTGAGCAGTCAGATTTCTGTCAGATAGAGGCCAACCTGGTCCAGGACAAGCTCCAAAGCTACACAAAGAAACCTTGTCTTGGGGGAGGGGGAAGGATCAAAATACAGACACTGCAAATTTTACTATCACATCTGTTCCTAGATGCAAAGAACTATCAAAATTGTGACGATACCCTCCATGGTTAAGTTCAGGAAGGGGCAGCATTTTCTTGATACTCATTCCTCTAGCTCTGCCAAAACAAAACCAGAAACAAAGGTTCCTACTATTTAAATTGTACATCATCTGGGTTTGGTGGAGCACACCTTCAGGCAGAGGCAGTAGGATTTTTAATTTCCAGGCCAGCCAGGGTGACGTAGTGATATCTTGTATCCAATTAAAAAGAAAAACAAGGGACTAGAGAGATGGCTTGGCAGTTAAGAGCACTGGCAGTTGTTCCAGAGAACCCAAGTTCAATTCCCAGCATCAACATGGCAATTCACAACCATCTGTAACTGTCTGACACCCGTGGCAAAACACCGAAGCACATAATACAATTTTTTAAACAATTCAAAAAAAAAAAAAAAAAAAAAAAAAAAAAAAAAAACCCGGCATTTTTTTT